TCGAACTCCACCAAGAGCAAATGACTAAAATACTACAATTCTAATAGGGTATGGGTAAGTAATTAACACACAAACAGAGATCATGACACGTACACATCATATGCACATGACACACAATCACCATCTGAGATCCAGTCCGCAAGTCGACAAAAAGCATGAGCTTTTTTTTAGGAAAAGTAATCCAGGAGGCCGCAACAACGACAACTCGAGAACCCGTTCCCTCACACCCTTCTCCTGCCCTCAACTCATACCGTCATTCCCCACTCCAAACCGGGTAAATACCCGGAGCCATGCCATCGAAAGAGGACTTTGGCGTCAACAGAAAGTGTTATATATCTATTCTATCCTGTACTACTGCAAACCGTCGCAAAGCAGGGCAGCCATCATTGTCCAAATCGCGTCCCGGTTCCTTGCGAAATTTCCGAGGGCTTTCGCGAAGAATCGATCAGAGAAACTTTTCACACGATATTCCTTGCGCAGTGTAAGAACCTGTACCGGAATCTGGGACCGGATGGTCGTGTTTCTGTCAATCCGATTCAGCCATCCGGTAATCGATGCTAATTTCTGCTTTCGGCAGTTCCAGGACTCGAAATCCTGACCTGTCCCAAAGGTGATCTTCTCGGAGGCCGAAATTGTGTCCTCATTCTTAGTTCTCTGAAAACAACCCAAATATGGGTACCGCTGCTGCACCAGTAGCCTACAGCCTAAAAAATCCCAAGACCTCGAATCCTCGTCAGTCCTTTTCAAAGTCAAGGACTTCAGATAACACTTCTCGAATAGCCTCCGAATCCTCTTAGCTTTCGCAATGGTGTCCATTTGTCCTTTCCGGAATCCGATGAAGACCGAAACATCGTCCATTAGTCTAATCCTGTAGATCAGACGTCTGTCAGCACCCAAAGATGCCAGAAAATGCCACTCCGCATGCGCACAATCCATGTCTCGATTCGTTGTCGTCAATTATGCACGGGGATTAGAAGAGAAAAAAGAAGGGAATAAAAATCCTTGGATCAATCACTTAGACTATCCATGTCTCGATTCGTTGTCGTCAATTATGCCTGCTACCTGAGAAATCGCTCCACGTCAGCAACCTGAGAGGGCGGGCATCCACGGAAGAGTTGAGGTCAGTGGAACAAATAACAGAAGTCGGGGCAAAGGAAGAACTGCAGAGGAAGGGGCATAGCATGGGAAGGAAATGAAAAGAAGAACCAGAGGAAAAAAAGAGAGGGAGCAAGACGATGAGAGGAGGATAAATCTTGTGAGAAAGAATCAGAGGGGAATGGGACAACAGAGCAAAGGGCAGGGCAGCAAACGAGCGGAAGAGGGAGACACGAGAAGAGCAACATGATAGACAGATAACAATGATGAAGCTAGCAACAGCTGTGAGGTGACGGCGTCGTTGACGGCAATTGGATATATTCAATTGTATTGTGAAAAGGATAATATAGTAGGGTTGAAGGTTGATGATGAGAATGAAGGAGGGTCAAACAAGAGGGGAGAGAAGAGAAACTAGATTATGAAGAAATGTGACGATGTTTTTTTTGTGATTTGAAAGTGATGGAGAAGCGGTGAACAGAGTACTAAAAGTTTTGAGGGAGGGTGTTTTTCATGGTCATGAGAACAAATGCCGACACCAGGCCATAGGCTGGACACCAAATAGACGAAAGGGGGGAAAAAAAAAAAAAAAGGTGAAAAATGGAGCAAAGGGGGGCTTGAAACCCCAAGGCAAAAGTGTGTTTTCATGCAAATTGCTCTGTTTTCAGTTTTTTTCTCAATTTTTGAGGATAATGATGATGATACCCTGATGAGGCCTGAACATGATTGTCGGTAAGTTATCTAAATTGACAATGATAAAAAAATAAAAAATAAAGAAGAAGAAGAAGAAGAAGAACAAGAAGACAATGATTCGTCCCACAATATTAGGCGCTTCTGTTCACGACCATCATTGATTTCATTGCATTACGATCGGCGCTGAACTTCATTTTTTTGTGAAATAGCAGTCTCTGTGAACTTGCAGCAAGGGCTCTGTGTAGAGGAAACCGCTTTGCTATTTGCTGATGGAGATAGGCAGCACACATGTATAGCCTGTATAGGAAGTATAGACTAGGCGGTGCTAGACGCAGACTATAGCCTTAGCCTGGCAGGGGAGGGTAAACAACAGTGCTACTAAACACCCTAAACCTCATTCAGCTCAAAAGTGCTTGCGCTCTCTCTGTGTGTGCACTCGTCCGTTTCTTCGTGCATGGGTGTAATAAGAGTGCTCCAGTCCTACCACCTTCACCTGAATAGAGCGTGCGGTCATTGTCGGTGCATCTAGATGGAAAGTTGGCCCCAATACATACATCTATAATGACCTTGCATCCTATTCGGGTGACGACAGTGGAGTGTCGTTCCTGCCGCAGCTGCTGAGTGATTGGGAGAAGATTGCTGAGATGTCCATCTTTGCGGTCAGCCTCCGACCGCTGAAAATTTTCTTTTTCTTTTTGTTTTATACAGCACAATCTGCCCCATCTACTCTGGGGGGCATCAGCCCGCTTGCCTATCACTTGCAAGCCTGCAACAAAAGTAGAAAAGAGTAGTGAGTACCAACTGGCCACCCCCGAACGGTTGTTGAAATACAGACCAGGTGCGGAGTTCGAACTCCACTGGAAGAAGATGAGTGAAATACTTACAATTCTGAATTGCCTAGGGCCAGTGCGTTTGATGATAATAGCTCAAAGCTGTCGCTGCGGCCCTTTGTTTTTTTTTAACAAGGAACAAAAACAAGAACAGAGCAGTGAAGAGAAAGACAGAGTATGGTTCAGGGTGCCTGCTACCTCGAGACCGACGGCCAGGTTTGTGTCCCCCAGGATGTGCATCATCTCACAAGGATCCAATGATATAAATTTATTTGAAAAGGATATCATGAAACGGTATTCATCAGTTCGCAGTAGCCGATGCAGATCCCAGGACTCGATCCCTAGTCCCCACCTTACCTGTGTACAGTATCTGTGTCGACCCCTAGAGTTGAACCCGTGACCTGTGTATTTGTAACAGTTGGTAGACCGTCGTAGGGTCCATAGGTAGCAGGGGTTCGATCTGAAGACCTGTCGAGTAGGAGTCTCAGTCAGGTTTAGAAGTCGTAGCTGTAGTTTTCCCGAAGGGTCAAGGTCGTAGCTGCTGCAGTCCAGAAAGGTCAAGGTCGTAACTGCTACAGTATCGAAAGGCCAAGTCTACGGCCTTCCGGAAGGTCCGAGTAGTGGCCTTCCGAAGTTGCCCATGTTTAGGAGTGAGGCAAGTGGGCAAGTGGCGAGGCAAGTGGGCAAGTGGTGGAGTCTACCCGTGCTGAGTCAGCAGTCTCAGTCCCAGTCAGTCCTGGTCCAGTCAAGCAAGTACCGCATGGGACTGTATGCACTACGGGCATGGGAAAGGGCCAGACCGACAAGCTGCAGAAGTATAAATCAAGAGGCAGCGCCCAGTCATTCATTCATTCCTGCGTGAGCCATGCGGAAGCGCTGCCACAAGCGACTTGTGCGAGGTGGTCTGCAGTGAGCCTGAAGACGAAGTGGGCGAGAGAGGAGAAGCTTAGCCATAGCGATAGGGTAGCAGCGGCCATAGCCGCCATAGCTGTAGATAGAGTTCAGGTGTGTGAGTGTGTGCGTGTACTGAGTATGGTGTGTGGGATATCCAGGGTGATCCTGTGTGTGCGAACAGAGAGTTGTGTGGGCGCTGAGTCGCCATAGCCATTGAAGTGAACTCGTACCTGACTGTGTTCTTGGCTACCATATCTCTGGGTTTTGAGTGGGCGCTTGTCGCCAGTTTGCTGCGCACCTGTTTGCATGCATGCGAAGTGTGGATGAGAGTGAGTCTGATTGCAATCATTTGAAAGAAAAAAAAAAAAAACACTATTCTCTGGCAATTAGTGTATTGTATACTATCGCTGCAGCATCAAACAACAACAACAACAACAACAACAACAACAACAACAACCTATCATTTTTCTAACTGTCTGTTTGAAGTTGCTATTGCACATCTTCGTTGTTGGTTCGACTGTGTGCATTGACTGTGAGGTTGTGTAAACTATTGCTGGCACTATTTTCAGCTTGTCTTTTTTTTGGGTGGGGGAAAAAGCCTCTGGCTGTGACACACTTTTAGTTTGAAATAGTCAAGAAAAGACAAAAGTGGCGCCGGTGTCATGGTGCGCGTTTCGAAATGTGCAAGACTTCGTTTAGCGGGGGTCTAAAACTGCGCTGGTCATTACCCGCGCAGTGGCGCTTGGCAGATTTAGGGGGGTCGCCTTTTGTTTCTGCACCATAATTTCAGGAACTGCTAATTTTAAGTTGCGTAGCATTCTGAACGTTGGGTGTGACGACTCCAACGTACTTGCCCCCCCCCCTTCCCCCCCCCCCCCCCCCCCTTTTTTTTTTTTTTTTTTTTTTTTTTTTTTAAGTGTGTGTGGTAACTGGTGGCGATTGACTGCAGGTAGAGCATCGGATGGTAGAGTTCATCAACAACGTTGTTCTTCCAAGGTCCTCCGTGACCCCTGGGATAGAGCCAATTGCACGGCTGGATGGCAGTGGAGCATCTGTTCTGGAAGCCACATCGTTAGATGCAACGATGCACGAGCCTTATGACGACCTAACCACCAGCACAGCTAAGAGCTCAGGGGGAATTGATCTCCCGCCCTCTGGATTTTTTCGGGTTGGCACTGCGGTGATGGAAGGACCCATGGTCGTCGGATCGCCCGGAAAAAGTTTGTTGGGGGGCGGAAGAGGTGGCGATCCGTTTGGTTCCGGAAGAGGCAGCGATCCCTTCGGTGGCGGAAGAGGCAGCGATGCGTGGGGAAGTGTGCATGGCGGGGGGGGTGAGGGTCTGCACAGCTCCGGCTCTTTTGGGGCATCGGAAAACGTACTGCCATCGTCACCAAAAGGAACCTACAGCGTGAACTCGGCAAGAGGGGGTCGAGGGTCCGCAGCAGTCATCAAGGTGGCTATTTTCACCCATGGGATGTCTATCAAGTGTTTGCTGAGGAGTTTGTTGTTATCGTCCAATCCGAACATAACACACAAGATAAATATCGACAACACGTCCGTGACCGTCTTGAAACATAACGCAATGGCAGGCTGGCAGCTTGTTAAGGTCAACTGCGTTGCTCATTTACTGATCGCGCGAGGGCCCCTCCCGCCAGCGCTGACTAGAAGCGGCGAACCTCCACCTGCCAAGGCTTCCTCAGAATCTAGCTAAGTGGCCAAGCAGGGATCTTCTTCGTCAAATCCCAGCCATCCATTACCAGGAAGATCAGTGACGGTGAGTAGCTTGTTGGTCTTTTCATTGCCTATGTTAGACACTGGAATTGTTTCAAGCTCTGTTGACGAAAGCTGTCTCGGTCTGTCTCGGATCCTAAGTGGGTAGCCAAGCAGGATGTCCTTAAGAGCCCAACCATCCACCATCCATTACCTGGAGGATAAAATGGTGGCAGTAAAGTGCTGGCCATTGCCTGTTGGAGGCACACAACTGTGTCAATCTCTATTGATGTCTTGGAATCTAGTTGAGAGGCCAAGGAGGATCTTCTTCAGATCTCATCCATTCTGTTAGATATAATCTGAAATGATCAAAGCTAGCAGTAGCTCGTCCTATGGTCAAACTGAACCAAGGGCTATGTGACCTCTATTCTTTGAGCCCAGACTGTTATTATGGTCATTGGTCATGTTCCTCATTGTTCCGCCTCGGGCTGTCCCACAAGAAGCACCATTGTCAAACCCCCCCAAACAACTGATTTCCATTCGTTCTAGCCGTAGCATTCTGCAGAATCTCTCTCTCTCTCTCTCTCTCTCTCTCTCTCTCTCTCTCTCTCTCTCTCTCTCTCTCTCTCCTCTCTCCCTCTCTCTCTCTCTCTCTCCACACCCCCACCTCTTTCTCTCTCTCTCTCTCTCTCTCTCTCTCTCTCTC